TCTTCTCAAGTCAAAGTTAGACAACGAACGAGAAGACTTGCCAAAAAATCTCGTCGCCATCTTGCCATTAATGATGGAACAACTGCCTGTGCAACTAACTGTGGTTGCGGATCGCGTTATTATTTATGAATCTCACCGTATACAACTCCGGGCGCTTTCATATACATTTTTGAACTTCTTTAATTTCCGCATGTAAATAGAGAGGCGGTATCTTTATTTGTATTCAAGACGAGGAAAGTTTTTCACATTATCAAGATGAATTGTTTATGATTTTTTTATATCGCTGTAATCTTTTTAAGGGATTTTTGGAACGCTCGTGTAAGATCAATAGGACGAGATTTTAGAGAATAGACCTACGTATTTGAAGTAAAGAAATAATGATGAATTGATTATAAGTACATATTTAAGCTTTCAAGGTTTTTAAGAGCTTTTCTAATTACTCCGTAAGAATGAAAAAAAAAACGTTTTCAGTGTTAAATCGAGGACACGATAGCTCAAATAGTTAGAGCAACAACACGTAACGCTGTGGATGCCGGCTCATGTCCTGCCCGAGTCTTAACTTTTTTAATTCATAATCGATTTTTGATTTATAAATTTCCTTCAGACTATAACGCTGGAACTGAGCCTTTAAGCTGTACCTAAAACGTAATATTAACCGCACGTAGGCCCTCATTTCCGAAAACACGACCACGCCAAGACAGTTTATAAGCAGTAATTCGCCCGTATTTGCCTACTTGCATAACAATATTTATTCTCTAGGTAAGTGAGCTTACACGAACTCCTAGCACTAATGAACTTACCCACAAGTTTAGTTCGTGATCTGGGTTAATGGGATACAACAAAAAGCGTTCAACATTATTTATGTTTATACTGGCCATAATTAGTTCGCTTCCATAATTCTTTTGTGAAAGTTATTGCACGTGTTGTTTGAAATGAAATTTATAAGTCTATTGTTTCAGGACTTGTGGAAGACGGGATAAGAATTCTGGTATGGGAATTGTGTAACTACAATTTATTTGTGTTAACATGCATTGCACATGATGACATTATTGAAATTAAAAATAGATTTCAAATAAAGAAAAATATGTAAGGAACAGGACTTGAACCGGCATCCGGCGATATTGCGCAAGAAGTGCATGCATCAAGAGATTGAGAAAAAAAAAACGACGATGACGTGTAGGACACGGTAGCTCAATTAGTTAGAACAGCACGGAACGCTATGGATTGAACGCCGGTTGAAGTCCTGCCCGTGTCGTGCCATTTTTTTAAATCTATAATCGTTTTTTTTTTGAAAGTGTAATTTATTAAGCGTTATTATAAATTTAAATCTGGCTTACAGTTGATGCAAGTGAGGCTCTATTGAAATTTTTTACTTATTGATAGGGTTACAAAACAATATCTTACTGATATTGTTTTGCAACGCCAATCAAATTAACAACTTTAAAAAATATGATTGCTTGAGACGGACTGGTCTCCGTTTACCTCATTAATATTACTTACGGGCAAGCGGTTAATTAAAAAAAAAATGCTCCCTGGGATTTGAACCCAGAGTTAATTTTGCGCTTACCGCATTATAACACATAGTTCATTGTGGGACAATTATTTTTTACGCATCTACATATTAAAATTAGAGTAAGGGAACGTAAAACAAATAATATGTTTTCATATTAGTTTTATTCATGAATAGTTGTGTGCACATTTAACAAGTAGCTTTAAGATATGGTACAATTATTATCTAAGATACACAGTTTTAAATTATTATAATGTATTTCTTACTTACAAACTCAGATTCTACTAAATTTCCTTCATTTCTTTTCGTTGTGGGACAGAAGAAAAAATACGCGAGTCATTCCCATAATACAATTATTTATAAGTAAGAAAGAAGAATTCTAAATTTAAACATAATATTGGTGGCATATGGTATAATTATATCCTGTTTTGTCTCCGTCAGACATATTATGTAATGTCATCTCTAAAAGAAAGAGACAAAACATAGTGCAGCTCTTGCAGGACTTACAACACTTTTAATAGTAAGGCAGCGAAAATATTTGTTTTATTAAAAAAAAATGTTTCTTAAAATATAGGTAAACACGAATTTATTTAAACGGAAAGAGCTTACATTATTGATATAAATATTTTCTACACGATCTATACAATATCTGGAGATCTAACTATAATGTTACGTATATATCGCCTACTAATATGGAGATAAAAATGCTAATCGGATTTTATTTACAGAAAGGTCTTATCTAAATGTACATTAATGCTACTTACGTCTACTTAACCTGGAAGCACACAGAAATGTTATTACACTATTATATAATACAAACCAAACGTGCTGCAGACGTCTGTATGTAGAGCAAACATTGAATTTTGATGACTGTACAAATGTAATGTTTACTAATAAAGAAAATACATTAAAATCATATTTGGCTTAGTTGTATAAATATCGGTAGAATTATGGACTTTCTACTTCTACTAATTTTTAGAAAACAGTTAAAATTATAAAACTCTTGGATTCTAAAATTATGCTAAAATGACATTAAAATGAATTGATAATTTAATTATTGAGTAGATAAGACAGATTGAACTGTGACACGGGTAAGCCTCGAGTCTCCTACCAACCGAATGTCAGTTAGAATTGAATAGTAGTTACTTTGATATTTTTAACATTATACTCTGACGATGGAAATTATTAATGTACAGTTATAATTTTCTGAAATTTCAGAATTTTTGATACCTCATATAATAAATATTATTTAAGCGCAGAGGTTGTATAAAAGTTTTAATGATCAAAGTTGCCAGTCTAGGACGCTTACGCTATATAGACCTCAGAAATATGTAATGAAATTTAGATTCCCCTAGGAACACATTACTGTGTCCGTTTCATAGATTTTATACCTTTAAGCAGACTTCTGCGCTCTGCCCAACCGAAAATTTCACCGGACTCGAACCAAGGACCTCTCGTGCTTAAAATAGCGCTAGACAACGCCCCATAATCATTCCCATAATACAACGAGAAAAGACAACAAGTGCGTGGTATAATCCGGCTTTAAAATTGTAAGCGAGCTTTTTCTCGATAACTTAATTATTTCACAAAGGAAAGTGGCTCTTTTGCAATACAGCAACGAATACAAGTAACAAAAAGTCCATTTACTGATGGCTCTTTGTGTTACTAATACGACGAAATTGATTCCACGTATCCCATATGAACAATGTTTATAGTTTTTACACTTTATAGTTAGTAGAGCTTATAGGAATAGAACGAGTAATTTGAAACTATTTACAATATTTGTAAACAAAGACATTAAACATTGTATATAGTTTTCGCGGCCATTCAACAGAAGTTATTTTTTATGATCGAAGAGAACAGGCAAGCGTGGGGAGGCATTAGATGGTGGTCAAATAGTCGAGTAAACTCAAGAAGTTTCACAGACAGTACAGTTATTTCGGATTGAAAATGAATTCTCAATTGTTTCGATGTAAAGATTAGGCCATTAAAAACTGTTTATGTATCTACTGAACCTAAAAAATACAAACCTACTTACATACAGTATCTACTAATAAATAATTTTACATACAAAGTTTAAAGACAGTAAAAAAATAAGCTTTTACCAAATGTTATGTAGTTAACAAATGTGGTGTACAAATTTATGAAATGTAATCGATCACATTAAACGGTTTAAAAGGTGTAAATGTTTTTTTTACTACTAGCATACTGTATTGAATGTTCGACAACAACTGTTGTCACAGATAGTAGATAAAACACTGGAATATATGGCGAGCACATTTCTGTGTCCGTTTCACAGATCGATTTATTTACAGACAAGTAGTTAAAGTAGTTAAGACGTCTGTGCCCTGCCTGATTCCACGGGATTGAAATCCGGGACCTAGCTTAACGCAATGCTAGGGAACACGTTTAACCATTTAGCTACAGCGGTGGTTAATATAACGACCATTATACCAACGATCCAGTCGAATTTATTAAGCACACTCATTGTTTAACAAATCCGAATATAATTAACGTCGACCAAATATTCACATTTTCAAAATGACATACGACTGAAATAAATTTAGCGTGTCTTTTCATGGAGTTGAATGGCGCTGAATGGACGACATTATCGTTCGCGGGGTCATTAAAATGAAATTTGTGCTCGCTTAAACCAAATCTTTTCGCAAATCTGTAATGGACGTTCTACTCTGTAATCTATGTACAGTTTTGAGTTATTGTCCATAGGCAATATTGAGCCATTTATGTTAAATAATAAAAAAAAGTGTGAATACCCGTTTCCCCTTGTTTCCCAAAGGGCGAACATACATCTGTGTCCGTTTCACTGATCGGTTTTATTTACAAGCAAGTAGTTGATCAGACTTCTGTGCCCTGCCCGACCGAAATAATTTACTTTTTCCCCGGGATTCGAACCCAGGACCTCTCGCGCTTAACGCAATGCTAGGCAACACGTTTAACCATTTAGCTATAGAGACGGTCATGTTAACTATACATAATACATAAAAAATGTTTGAAATAGCATATATTTTTGAACTAATTATGTATTTAGAAGTTTGGTGGCACACTTGGATAAAGTAGCGCATTAACACATTTAAATAAAATGCCTTACCGATTAATGAACGGTTTAAAACCCGAAACGTATTAATTAAAATTTAAGTACAGCCCGACGTTTCGGATGCTTTGCTGCAACCCTAATCACAGGGAGGCCATAGAATGTATTAAGTATTATTTTTACATAGACAAAGTTTAAAGAATGCCTTTTGCGTTTTAAACCGTCAGTATTTCATTAAAATATGTAATACCCGCGTAAACTACAAATTGTATGTCATAATATAAAAAAGTATACTATTGTACGACAAATAACAACTTATAATGTATACATTGCTTTTAGCACAGGACAAAACAAACACGACCAAATCATCGTAAATGAGTGGTCCATTATATTACAATGTTAAGATATGTCATAATATTTCTGTACATATATTACACATTATACAATATCCTCTTCCTTTTCTTTAATCTTCACACATAAACCACCTTTACACCTTAGTCCCGGTTCACACGTGCCTTTGAAACCTCCACAGTGCTCACCCAATGTCCTTGCACACACTTGGCAGCATCTGAAAAAATATAATATCTATACTAATGTTATAAAGCTGAAGAGTTGAACGAGGCAATCTCATAAACTACGTTTAATATAACAAAAAAATTGTGTTGTTAGACCATTTATCGACAAGGCCAGAAGAGTGTAGAAACACAGGGAAATGTGGAAAAAACGGGCACATTTCAGTCATATTTAAACCTACACAATCAATCCCTTTTATTTTAGACACGTTTTTATGTTTATCCATTGCATATAACTTTTAATAATATTTATTTTATAAGCTTATTTTTAACATTTATGGATACTTCATATGTGTTGTAATTAAGAATAAATGAAAAATAACATAATATAAAACTCCACCACCTTTACCCCTTAAACGGTGGCACTCATGCCTCGTGTAATGTAAGGGCCTACCCCGAGCGTCAGCAATGAATAAATAAACAGAAATAAAACTTCAAATTACCTGTAGATTTATATAAGATACGCTGCCGAGTGTTATCTTAAAACAAACATTGAGAGAAGGAAAAGCAGAAGAGAAACAGGGTTTCAAAAAGAAAACAAATTAAAGCCTTTAACAACCTTTTTAATTACTTCACAGCATCCATAGTCTTTGGGGTTACCAGAAGACCTCGCTCAGACATTTTTTAATTTTACATAAATTAGAAAAATGACTATTAAAAAATTGACAATCATTCGACTAACAACACAATTGTCAACAATTTGATTAATAAGAAATAATTAATTGAAAATTGATTAGTTCTATTCCTTTACATGAACTATAGTCTATGTCTATCTAAAGATTTGCTTTCGTTCTAATTCTATATTGGCCCGAAGTTTGAGGATGGTTAGGTACAAACTATATCAAAGCTCTGCTACCAGCTCGAAGGCTTTCGTAATGTAAGAGCGTGGAAAGTTAGCGAGTTAGGATTACATACGCGCTGCGGACGTCTCGATTGCATTATGCAAACTTCATTTGAGTAGATCACGGAATGACTAAGAATTTTACTAATAATAACTTAGATGAAACTTCGAAGTGTGTTTGTTCTAGATTTTGATAAACGCTTGGGCAGGTAGGCGCTGTCTAATTCGTATAAATGATTCTGGGAAATATAGAATTTGGTCTGGCCACAGAAATCCCAATATCTGTACTAATATATAAAGCTGAAGAGATTGTTTGTTTGCTTTGCACTCAGATATCTCAGGAACTACTGGTTGGAAAATTTATTTTTGTTTTGGTTAAAACATTTTGTCAAGGAAGGCTTTAAACTAAATATTACGACCTGCGACCAATAGAAGCGAAGAAATATTGGGAAATATGAAAGAAAAACGGGGAAATTATTCATTTTTGTGAGTGTCCATTGCGTGCGCTCTGAAAACGGCTCAAGATACCCAAAAAATATGTATGGATGAATGATTTCTCTTTAAGGAATCTCAAGAAATGTCCACGACTCTATCAAGTCTACCTTTTAAGATTAACTAACAAAAAGGACGGGACGCGGACGACGTTGTGGGTAATAGCCAAAAATGTATTAAGACAAGAAGCTTTGCAAAAAGAAATTGATACCCAAAATAACTATTTTACGCCGATGAAGTCGCGGCCACAGCTAGTATGTAATTAGATCAAATAGACACAGCAACGTATCTGCTGGTATTACTAAGCCAACAGTTTGTATATAAACACATTTAAGCACGTTCCACAAAATTTCTATTGATATTTCACGCCTTCCATCCTTGTATATCACACAGAATATTTAAAGATGATTTACGTACTTTCTACCCGCAGGTCAGTTAAGCCAAAAACACCCTTATTTTTATAAGAATAAATCATATCACCTTCGATGACGGTGAAATTATTCATTGTAAACATTGAAGAGACTTCAAATATTTGTTTGAACCTAAATTATTTATGATAATGGAAACAAGGCATAATTTATTTACTTAAAGAATCTGTGGTGCTTTAAGAATTTATATTGAATTGAAGAAGACAAACGTTATTTATTTATTTGTAATTAATGTAGAATATATACTTCAATACATTATCGAGATCAAAGCAATTATCTCAAACTCGCGTAAACTATAGACAGTATTTAATGTCTATAGTTTACGCGAGTAGTACACATTTAAATAAAACACTTTAACGGTTTAAAACGCGATATATTAGTTAAACTTATTTAAAAATGATTTTTAACTTCGGCTAGGATGTACATCCTCCATCTTTAGTCTCCCCGTGACCACGGCTGCTGCAAAGCATCCGAAACGTCGGGCCGAAGTTAAAAATCATTTTCAAATAAGTTTAACTAATATATCGCGTTTTAAACCGTTAAAGTGTTTTATTTAAATGTGTACTACTCGCGTATACTATAGACAGTCTCTAAGGTTATAAAAGCGAAATCCCCTTATCCCCGTGAGGCATGGGGCGAACACATAAACGTGTCCGTTTCACTTACCAGTTCTTTTACAGGCAAGTGGTTAAATAAATTGAAGAAAACGGATTACAAGTATTAAAAGATTACGACACGGACAGGACTCGAACCGGCATCCACAACGTTCCGTGGTGTTGCTCTAGTTAATTGAGCTACCGTGTCCTACACGTCATCGTTGAATTGTATTAACCTATTAATGCATGCAACTCTTGCGCAATTTAATTTCTATCGCTAAGGAAACACTTAACATGCTTAACATAATTACCGTGATAATGGTCAAGAGATATGGTTGGTGTATCATTCCTCACCTGCACGGATCCCACACCACCATCCCGAGCCCAGGGCACCCGCTGGGACCCAAGACTTCGCATTCCCTCGGATTGCAGACGCAGTTGTACCCCCTCACAGCGGCCACAACCATCAACAGAGCGACCATCGCCAACCACCTCCTTGTCATACTGTCCTCACATTACGCAACAGATAAATGTCCTATACTGCTCGTGTAACACTTTCCCATTTCAAATTTATGGTACAGTCAATAATCTGGAACAAAAAAAAATGAATAAAAGACAAGGGGTTACTTGATAGTAAGTGAAACACGACAGCCCTATGACATCTAAAGAATAGGCTTTGGACCTTTGGACTTTGGAATGTCGGTTTTTGACTAGAATTTTGATAGTACTACGACACAGACTATGTTATATTTCATTTTTACTTTTAATAAAAAAAAAAACAAATACCTGTCTAGTGTCTATCCTACGTTGTCATAAAAACACACTGTCCGTTAGTGACAATATATAAAATCTGTTTAATCTCTCTAAGCTTGTGTATACCATACTATTGTGTACATAAAATTGAAAGGGTGACTGCCAATATTATCAAGAACCAACAGATTAGCTTATCATGGCGAAGTACTCTCGAGTTAATTCAGTATAAAAGAGATGCCATAATTCCTTACTTACAGGCCAAAAAATAAATCAATAAGCAAAATGTACTAGCTTACCTGGCAAATGGTTTTTTGCCATATTTCGACCAAATATGATTCTTGCTACATTTGATCGGTTTTGACTTTTGTGAGTTCAAGAGCACTGTGAGATCATTCTTCTCTCTCTTTTACGCTCTGCTCGATCGAATTTACTGTTTCCCCGAGATAGCAGGACCTTAGGTGGTCATTTTAATTTTAACTTGACCTTTGTTTACTTCGCTAATCCGTTATCGTTCGTTTAAGAATTGCTAAACACTAATATCGGGTTAGCACAATATTTACGAAATGCGATATTCAAAGCATTTGATCTTAATTAGTCTTGTTGAGACGGTTCAAGCTTTTTTTAGATTTTATACATTGTTACGGGCTTAGAAGGTACAGACTTAGAGATATTAATCAACGGGTCGTGAGTGCGATCCCCACCGGGTCCAACATTTTCTGGTCTGCAAAGCTGGATAATAAATGGGTGGTAGGAATATCGAAATTCAGTCCAGGTCAAGAACCACATAGATGAAAAAGCCTTGAAGTTGAGTCTCGTTTCGGTTTTAATCTGTGGATTTCCATCTAAAGCCAAAATAGGTCGACAGCCCAACTTATTTAGATGCTATAGGCTGGGTTATTTCAACTACCATCAAGGTGCTTGTCTCTCCTCCAATATCATTTAAAAAGTCTACATTACACTAACAAAAACCGCATCAGCTTTCAATTTTTAAATGTATCTTATGTATTGTTTGTTAGTACAAAACAGAAATATATCGTACCTTATATCAACGTTCTTAAAAAGTATTCTGAAATGAAATCCTTAAATATTCGTCAAAGTCGCTGAGTTTTTAGTTTACACGAGTGTTACATATATAAAAAATAAAAAATAAGATTTCTTAGCCGTCACCATAGTAGCGTTTACGTTTAGTCTCCCCGTATATTTCGCGTTTTAAAATCGTTATAAGATTTTATTAAATATATTAGAAGTTTCGCTTTTATTACACATGATGTCATTACATAAAAGAAAACTCGGTTTTCGATTGAAAAAAAAAATGTAATTCACGAACAAGACAAACCCTTCTACTTTTGCCCTTATACTTGCGTACTACTACTTTTATTTATACTTGAAAGTAGTTGATAAATCTTCAGTCAAACAACGTAACGGACCTCTTCTTGTACATAATATTGATATTTGAGAAGGTCAAGCGTAGGCTGAAGGTATACGACCATTTCATGAGTTAATTATTCACGGAAAAGGTACTTCTTCATTAATACGACAATATTTTCTCGATGACAAAGGAAAGTGGTTTCCTGGAATTATTTACATCTAAATAGTATAAATATGCAATTAAATGTTTTTAAATGATATTGATTTAAAACATTACAGTTCAGAGCTTATATAATTTGCGCGGGAGCTGCTTTGATTTCGAATTGGATGATTACGGACGTGACATCATTCTTAGAGGGAGAGAATCTTGATTGCATATCAATTCTATCGATGTAAAATATTTGAGATTTTTATATTAAGATAGCTAATGAAGATGAAACTTGCCTACAGACATTACACAGGTGTTTGATAATTTGAGGCCGTCCTCCCTATTGAAATTTCGGTGTTTTTATATAACTTTATAGTACAAATATTTAAAGAATTTTTAAGCAAATTATCGTAGTTAATGTAAACATCGACCCAACCTTTTGAATGATTTATACAAGGTCAGGGGTCCCCCGTTGTAATCCGTTAAACGTGTTTTATTAAATGACAAAAGCAGAGAAATAGCATGTAGCTGTATATTTTTATATAATAACTAGAAACGTTGGAAATCCTTAATTGAAATCTATTGTAACTTGAAAAGAATGATGACTTGGGCAAGACTTGAACCGGCATCCTCAGTGTTTCGTGCTGTTGCTCTAACCAATGGAGCTACCGTGCCCTACACGTCATCGTCGACTTTTTGCTACCTATCGATTTTTAATTTATAAACTGCCATGATGTATAATATCATGTGACACATATTAAAGTTTTCAATTAAAACTCCTTTTCACTCTCATATAAAAACTATATTACGAAGTTTTGGTTATTCCCCAGTATAAAACATATTAATCTTTCTAATAATAAAGGTTAACAATAGGAAAAAAGGTTTCAAAAGGAGCCATTCCGCGTTTCCTCTTATAATACGACCGCGTTCGCCGGATAACAGATATCTGACGCTGACATGGCAAAATCAAGACGGGGTTAATATCGTGTTATTAATGGATTTAATATGATCCCGTTCTTTGGTACATACGATACCTTAATAGGTAATTAAGATGTGGATAAGTACTGTCGTATAGTACTTATAGTAAGTAATGTGGGTATATTTAAATGAAATACTTTTAACGGTTTGAAATGCGAAATGTAGTAGTTAACTTTGACGTTTCGGTTTCTAGGGTAGCTTCAAAGTATTCAAGTGTAAAAAATTACTAGAGATTAATGAAGTCTGAGTTATTAAAAATAAAAGTATGGTACCCTTGTGATATTCTTGTTTATATGGACAAAGGTTTTTAATGTTAAAATCGATTATAAATTTACTACGCGGGCAGTTCGTTAATTTGAATTAATGATCGATTTTTAATTTATTCATTGCCATCACGTGAAATATAATAAAGTTTTAGAAGGACCGAAATGACTTTGTTTGTGATCGAATGATTTAATTAGTACACAGTCACTCAATGGTAGAGCTACGGCTCTGTACGTTTTTGCCATGGGTTCATTCTTGCCTGTATTATAAACTTTTTTATTGTAAAATAATGTTAAAGGTTATTAATATCTTTCTAAAATACTTATTTTTTTTTTGTCTTATTCCCTTCCCCTGAAATACATAATTTATTTTTATTCCATTTGAATGCCCCTTTATTAGAATTTCGGAGCCTAAAATAGGTCCAAATGAATAGCTCATATCGATCTGAATAAAACCGGGTCAAACAGTTCTACTAATATCCAGGGTCAATTATCAAATGAGTGAGACGTTACTGGGACGAATTACACTGGGACTGAGTAATTGAAGAATTTGGGTCAGAACGAGCAACATAGGTCGTAAACAACCTTGTTTCCGTTACGATCGAATGGTTTCCTAAAAGCCTAGTTTTAAGGAGGAGTTTGGCGGGATTCTAATCCCAGAAAAATAAAGAAGAGAGTAAAGCTTCCAATAGGCCTTCGATTTGAATAAAGACAAAAAAGAACAAAGCTTCTGAGAAATCGTGGATTCGAATCTGGAGAATCAAACAAGAGATCAAACGGCAAGTGTTGGAGGAGAAATTAACAAGAGGTTTTGGTTAGGCTTAGATAAGAGGTAGAATTATGTCCGCATAAGAATGCAATATTCTTATAACACACACTTGTCGGTCAAAGTCTGTAAACGTATCGTGTCATATAAAGAGTTCTGTCCCGCTGATTACCAAAAAAATCAAATTAGTACTTATTTAGTCGTATCAAGTTCAAAGTGTCTCAAAGTTTTTACGGAATCCTTACGTATTTTTTTATTTTCTGCAGTATTCGTTGTTATTGGGCCAATAGAAATATAAAAATGTCAATTAACTAGTTACGGTTGTTCTTGAGTTACCACATTTTCACGTGTGAAGAAATGACTTGTCAATAAGGTCTTTACCAATAAAAAAATAAAGTTGTTTACAACTTAATTAAAAAAAAGAGTTATAAAATAATTTTCTATAAAAACTTCATTCAGTATTTCTTTTACGGTTGCAAAAATTCGATTAAAATCGCAAGTAATATTAAAACCAGCGTTCGCTAGAAATAGTAAAAATGGAAATATGAAAAACATTTTCAATATTACACAAAAGCTTATCGAACAAAAAACTCAGTAACTAAGAGCTCAGAGGCATTTTCGTAAAAACATTTGCAATCAGTAATAAAAAGTGTTTCCAGAGCGCGCATCGCTGCAAGCGATTTCATCCAAATAATTTACTTTGAACTATGTATTTATACAAAGATGTAACGAAGTTTTGAGAGGCCCTTTGGTCGATTAGGATATACATCAATGTATGGCTTACAAGCAACGAATCGTAGGTTGGAACCTAACCTTGGAATTCGTAATTTGACATGCAGGATTCTTGAAATCTGAATATTAATTGAGTAGTAGGAATCAAAATTACGCCCGGGATACAAACGTTAGTCCACTAAAAACAACCGTGAAGATTTGGATTCTGGTCTGTGGATTTGCAAATATCCAAAGTTAAAATAGGTCGACACCGTAATTCATTGAGATGTTATATGGCTGTGTCACCATCCATCGAGTGAATCTCATGTTTGTCTGCCCTTTTAAATAAAACACTTTAACGGTTTAAAACGCGATATATTAGTTAAACTTATTTAAAAATGATTTTTAACTTCGGCCCGACGTTTCGAATGCTTTGCAGCAGCCGTGGTCACGGGGAGACACAGTCTCATAAGTTTAACAAATAATTATGAGCGTTTTAAACAGTTAAAGTGTTTT